GGCAGTATTGCAAGCTGGAACAGTATCTCCAAAGATACATTCTTCGCTGCGACTTCTTCTGCTGTTTCGACAGCGCAGCCCTCGCTGAATAGCAGTACCACATCTTTCCACCATTCCTCTGGCCCAGAATCGAAACCTCCGAGTACTGCTCCTTCGACGGTTGCGTTTGACAGGAACTGGGAGATGGACATGGAAAACTTGCTCAAGGTAGCTACGTTGTGATTTTGCACAAACATTTTGGCTGATGTATTCTATCAGGAAATGTATACTTCAGTCAAGAGCCAGCAGATCTTGCAACCCCTAGGAACCACATTCATGGCTCGTGTTTCAACGTCATCTCTAACTCCAGGGGCACCGCATCTCAGTCGCAATCGCAGCTACCGCGGACCATCGGACCGGCTTACGACACTCAAGCGGGGTAGTATCCGGGGTATTCAGTCGATACTCACGCCAAGCTACAGTCCGTACAGTAGCAACAGCAGTATCGAAGGGCGTGTCAGCCCGTCACCGAGTTATGCAACCTCGACTCGTGAGGTAGGTGTCCGAGACATTTGACTACATGAAGTATTGACAGTTCGACATAGGGTATGCACAGCTCTATGGGTAATTTCCTCACCCCTTCTCTTGGTTTCGCGTCCAATTTGTCGCATACGATCATCAGGGAAGCACAGGAGGACGAGGATCGTAGCTACCGCAGTCATGAATCTAGCTCGACGACTATTAGTATCACAGATGAAGAACTTGCGCTTCTCGGGGCGCCATGGGCAAAGGAAGGGATGCTTTGCCGTAAACAGTATTGGGAATCCGCGGGCAAGAGAGCAAAGTCTAAGAACTGGATGGACGTTTTCGTGGTCATTCAAAGAGGGGAGCTGAATATGTTCACATTTGGAGACCACGGTGGAGGGTTTTCTGCCGTAGTTGGTGGTGGTAATTGGCTGGTGTGTATTTTTTTTCCGTTTTCTGATTGTTAGTTGACACTCTCGTAGGAAAACGCCCAGTCCGTTGGCACAGTACAGCTATCTCATTCGCTAGCCCACTCCTTGCCTCCTCCAGGCTACAATAGACAACGTCCCCACTGCATGGTGCTAACCATGGCCAACGGCGGCGTATTCTTTTTCCAAGCCGGTACAGAGGAGCTTGTCAACGAATGGGTCTCGACTTGCAACTACTGGGCGGCACGTACCAGCAAAGAGCCATTAGCAGGTGGCGTCTCCAACATGGAGTATGGCTGGAATCGTGTCGCTGATGCTTTGAATGGACGTCCTACATCGGACGACCAGAAAACCGAACACGATCGTACCGATTCGATGAGCGTGCGCAGCGGGCGGAGTACCCGAAGCAAGCTCGGGTGGAAAGAGAGTGCCGCTACCGTCCGCGCTCATTCGCCGTGGTCGGAGAGATTGTTCATTAATGATTGGAAGCCTCCTATCCCACCCTCGATATCCAGCATTCATGACGAGGAAGCCCAGCTCGAGGCACTGCAGAAATATGTGCATATGTTGAAGAAAGATCTTAAGCATCATAATGAACTGAGGGAACCAATGAACGCTCTGGTTTGTCATTTTGATCTCCCCACTCGCGCCCAGCTTATTTCTATTTTAGTACACACCGCGTTCAACGAACGGAGCCAAAGCGCAGAGTAATTGGGAGAAGAAGTCACAATTCCTGCTTACTGAAATCGTGAAGTACGATTCTTACGTCGACTCACTGCAATCCGCCATGAATCTGCGTCTGAAGAAGAGGGGCGAAAAGGCGCTAGAACGCGCTCTGGTTGTTGCGGTACCTGATGACAGTGACCCCGCGACAGCATCTGGTAACTGGAGAGGAGGTTACTCAGAGGAGACGATCCCTGAAGACGATGAGCTACCAGCAAGTAGGATACCCAGAATGTCTCCATTCCATCGCAGGGAGATGGCAGAGGAAGGGTAGTAAATATGTTAATTTCTGCTAATATACGATCGAACACTTGTTTTGATGTAGCCGTGCTCCCGGGAATATTTATGTATGATATTTTCCTTATGATACTGATGTCTTACGCTAGGAATCGGATGATTTGAATATAGTGTTTCTTAAACTACTGACATAGACCCAAGTGAAATAAGATAATGCTTCAGTGTGGACCGTACTAGCGTTCTCGGAAATCAGTAACTAGATTCCTATAACTTCGCAGCAGACGTAAGGACCTGGAGGCCACTCTTTGACTCCACTATGATTGTCTTTGATCCGCGGCATACCACAGCGATCCGACATCATGCGCAGAATTGGTTGTGTGGCCAAATGCCGAAAGCCAGGGAAATCAGCTGTATTTGGCAGCGGGGGAAATCTTGGCGTGGTCCAAATGATACATGTTTAGCCCAGATACCCCATGGAACCTGTCAGCCAAGAACTGCCTTACTCACTGAGGATCCCACCTTGAAAATTTGTTATTGGTAAGAAAATCATCAGACACGCGTATAAATACTTCGCAAAAAGACCTGTGCACCTGATCGCGGTTGCATGTTGAGCCACTGGAAATCGCCGAGTCACAAGACTCTCAGTATGCCATTGTCAGTCAGTGAGCCGTCGCAGCTGTACAATTTTATGGTTGCAGCCAAGCTGACTTTAACTTGATCTGGTAACAAGCTTGTGCCGCCTGTTGCAGCACATCGAGCTGCAAGACTTGAAATGGCAAGAACCTTTCGTACGAGCAATTTGCATCAGTTGGCGAGCAACACGGCCATCAAATATTTGACATACCTGGTTATAGGTCCGTGATCTAGCTCGTGCTGTGGTTGGCCATGGATGCTGTAGTAGTAATGAGATGCACTAACTCTCCATTATTCTGGTATGTCCTCAAATCAAAGCCATCATTGAAATAGTTCACTGGGGCAACGCCTTCCGGAAGCGATTACCGTAAATGCAGGCTCGCGTTGAGCAGATATGGAATACATACGCCAAGGCTATTCCTGTAACTTTCGTGTCAACGTTTTTTCTTAAGCTAGAATGGCCATGTAATAATCACCTTGTTTGCATTTTCAAGGTACGTTTCGTTCTTCGTTCGCAGGCATCCAGCAGCCGGAGTCAGCAAAAATACTTGATTGATGATGACATTTTTATTATACGTGTGATCAGTAGACTACCACACTAGAAACAATATTAGCTACAGGTAGAAAAGATCGTGATTAGCATTACAGTACCTCCACCTCCGCAAGTATGATACCATTCCCTTACGACCATGTCATAGCTTTTGGCTGCACTAGACTGTGATCTGACCCCAGGAAGGCTTTAAAAAGAAAGGGGAAACCTACAAGATATGCACTACTATCTTGACCTCTCGGAGACTTGTGATCGGCAATTTTCCGTAGCGTTACAATGATCCACTTTGAGGATATCCGACTGATGCTTGTTACGCGGCAGACGAATCTCTCAGTTGAGGATTATCGTCAATACCATAAAGGAATTTCGCCCAGTCTTTGTGTAAGGTCAAGATATCGTATGTAGCTGGCACCATACCGCGTCGGTCCACGGCTGATCGTGGTTGTATCGGCTTGTGGAAGCATTGTAATAGTGCGGATGCAGTTGGTCAATCGGAATGGTGGATGCAGCGCTCTCAACAGCACGATCGACGGAATGGATAGTACAAATACTACGTACTGTCACATCGCCCCAAGGTTGTAGTACACGGCTGCCCTCGGAATCCGAGGCTGCTCCAGTCTCTAGTAAGGTAGCGATCACCGCGATTAATAGTCTGCACAAGCATCAGAGCCACGAGGGAATGCAACAGCACTCCGTGTCACCGCATCCATCAGGAAGAGTCTGGACATGAATAATGTTTGCGACTTGGTTATGTCGATGTCCAGCAGTATTTGTCTTGTTGGTGTTCCGCCAAACTTCAAACAAAGATTCAAAATTAACTTGAGTAATAAGTCGGAAAGCCGCCAGTCGGCGAATGGCGGGAACACTAAACGCGGACATACGAAGGAGCAATGTGCCGATCCGAATAACCACGTGACTGATATTGAAAGCAACAAGCTTACATAATTACTAGTAGGCTAGAATTCGCGCATGGCCTGTCAATGTCCTACTTGTCCTAGTATCATGGCAGGGGGTCTATTCCTGTCTACGATCAAGGCAGACAAGGACATAGCGCATGTATTACCGGTCCTGTTCTGAAGCAGGATTCAGATAGTCTTCCAAGTATCTCTAGGACTCCGAGTCCTGATGTCTCATGAACTAAACTCATGACACCTCCAACGCCTTTATTTGACACTCCCTGCAGGCTGCGATTCATCAGAGATATTACTAAACCTATTGAACCTCCTGCCATACTTCGCCATCTGGTTAATTATGTGAAGAACTCAAAAGAAAGTCCCAATCCCTACCAAAGAAGTGGTCTCAACATGGTCGAGTGCCTCTGTGGTGAGGTGTGTTCGGGGTGCACTGGCTCCAAGGATTTGTCGGACTCAAAGGTATGTTAATGTCATTCCAGGAAAGAACTCAATTGCAACGTAGATTGCAGAGCTTGACTCCCGAGGTCCTATCTCATGCTGTGATCGCAGTACATGCTGACGTTGAATGGAGGCGCGTGCGTGCTATCGCAGGTGCTTTGCGCGTGGATGCTGCTCAGGAACATTTCATGTTTCTTGACTTACTCGCGAAGAGCGAAGCTGACATATGTCAATGCTATTTCGGAACCACTCGAAACCGCTATTGGAGCGCTCTCTAGTTATACTACTGATGAGCTGAATGATTGCAGAAATAGTAGTATTGCTGCGTTCAACCTTGATGTGACGTCGTTCGTGGCTCGACTCCCCGATACAAGTTAGTACTTATTACGTGGTGCTACATTCATCAACTGTACAGTTTTTCCAAAGGGTTCCCACACATCAACCAGGGTGGAATGTTTGGAACCCTCTCTTTCTGATGACGTGGGAGTCGGGGAATGTACGTTCAAACTTTTAACATTTATTCTGTCCATGCGACATACCGCCCTTTGACGTACCCTAGTTGATCAGGATGTACCCTTGACTTGAAGACCCGTTCATTCGGGATGCTGCCAATAAACATACGTGCGTATTCATCATGATCCATAAACAACAAATACATCGTAGGTCAAGGACCTTTGCTATGACTACAACCTTACCCCGAAGTAAGTTAGGCTTTTCAAGCCGGTTTTTTGATTCGTAAATCTCATGATATAGGTTAATAATTCCAGTGGAATCTCCGAGGTGATAGGCCTCACTTCCTGGTGCTGCTCTGCCACTTTGCACTAACACGTATTGCCTCTCGCGGCGAGACCTTCTCTCCTTTGCCGCCGTCTGCGAACCCATTCCATGCCACTCCCGTCATCGCTATCACCTCCTGCTAAATAAGATACACCCGCACCATCACTGACCTTCTGGGAGTGACCGTCTGAAAGTAGGGCAGGGGTTCCCTTGGCGAGGGCGGAATACTTTGAATCGCTGCTGCTGCTGATGCTGCCCATGCCGCCGTACCCCCATTCCACAAAATCGGGTTCATCGCGCACGTTCGCAAAGAGGTTTGTGAGTGGTCGGCGCTTTGAACCGTAGATGCGTCCGTTGAGCATGTGCATGCCACTTGTGGTGACTTTTGGGCGCGTTGAAGGGGAGGTGGGTGGGAAGGAGCTGGGACTGGAGCTGGGACTGGGGCTGTGACTGGGGAAGTGGTTCTTGGGCATTGCATGGTGGTCACCAGCTGAGCAGAGGGAGTTGGTGGAGGGAGCGGTGGAGAAATATCTTGGTTGATTGTCATTGGAGAGGATGGGGATGGACGCAGATCGGGAGAGTGGGGCACCAAAGTCATACGGTTGAGGATCATGAGCGGTTGAGTCGGTGGAAGACCGCTTGAACAAGTTGAATTGGCGGGAAAGGGATGACTTTGGTTTTGATTTGGAGGATGTATTGCGTTGGACATCTACGATGTCGGAGGACAGTGAAGAGAGTGCGCGCGGGTGGGAGTCCATGATGGAATTTGAATTGTCAACTTGAGCGGTGGGCTCAGGAAGAGGTGCGAATCTAATGTGACGCATCGGAACGCTGGCGTTGTGCATGTGCGAGCAAGAAGAGTTACTCGCTCTCGAGGATGTCACGGTGAGGACAGGTGACTGCGTAGGTGAGCGTAAAACAGCGGTCATGATGTTGTGTGGGGCTCGAAGAAAGTTAACAAGAATTGGGAGGTCCGAGTTCAAGAACTAAATAATGAGTTGAATCCTCAAGAGGCGGAGCGTGACTCGGTCCCCGGGGTACAATAACCGCTAGCAGCTGCTTAAGATCCGAGTCTAGATTAACTCTTACCCAAGACTAAAATGATTTACTTCCGCTATCTAGCACGCCTAGTATGCATGATTTTTGGATCTTCTGATCTAGTACTGTGACAAGCATCGAGGTAACGTTATCGAGCATGTATAAAAGTTCAACTACTGATGTGCAGAGTAACCTAGGGATAAAAGTAGTCTGGCCTATAGCTTTCAGCCACCGTAATCGGCGGTGTCAACGTGGACAACAAAGCTTCTCTTCCCTCCACACGAGAATCACGCTGACTCAAATATTGGAGCACTTCGAAACTCAGCTATTAACACACCCCTCCCAGTATGTACTATTAGGTCCAGCACCGGCTAAACCTAAAGTACCCATCTACCCCGCGCTTGTTCGTGGGCAGTGTCGTCATCACTATAATTTGTCCACATCTAGAACTTCCTCGAAGGCTCGAACTATTCACCCATGTGCAATGGCACCGCACAAACCGCCAAGAGTTCAATATTCCTGTACATGAACTTCCCTATGCAGATGTCCAGCAAATCCCTCGAGATCCGAGTATCATACCTAGAACTCTGTCACGCCCATCCGAAATGTTCGAACCCTTGGTAATGCGTGGTTATCGCGCAGTCTCATGACCCAATATTACTTCGAATCTCGTAATGTCCGATTCTTCTCTGTCATATTCAAAATATGATCCCGCATTATAGAGCCAAGATCGCTTTCACGGAACACTTTACAGCCCAAGTCAAATAGCCTCGTTTTTGGACATGACTGTCTAAAAATGTGGCGCGAGCAACTTTGCATGTTTCACATTCTCGACTCCCGTGCTTGGCAACCCTATTATTGTACCATCAAAACTGGGCGGCTCCTGTCATTAGCTCCCTAGGGGCATCATGACTTCAAGTGAAACTGTGGACAATTCGAAGTAGACGTTATTTCCTCTCTGCACTGCATCACCTCAGTACGCCACCCGCAGCTTGGCTGTCAAGCAAAGTTCAGGCAGTGAGTGCCACATTTAGTCGACATGGTCAATCCGAGTGCTTCTTAGTGCGTACCCATCCATCTGCCTGGTGACATCGGTTCTCCTAGCGTATCAGCGTCTGGGCGCTAAGCTGGCAGAGTCAGGTGTTGGCCATGCGGAGCGAATTCTCGCCATTTCCATCCGATCCACTTGCGAATGTCGATGCAGCTTGGCGGACATCGTGCGAGTTCCTTATGTCGACGGAATCAATCTATATCGTCCTCATTATCGCTGCACCACTTTAGCCCAGTGGCAACCTTGACATTACACACACCATGTTCTTGGCCTTGTCAAAGTAAAGTCACCAATAGCGTCCAATTTCTTGTTGCAGTATGTCTAATAAACCTTAGTATGACGATTCGTTCCCACCAACATCCAGAGGTGCAGGTCAGGTGTTCGGAACACCAAATTCATTGTCGCCTTTTCGAGCGGAGGAGGTCCAACTGCAAGCGTTCCTACAAACGGTTGACACTAGTATTTGCCACCATCAGAAGTCTTCGGCAGAATAACCCATGGCAGCACTTCAGGAACTGCTCGTCGTTGATCTCTTTACCAGCCACCCTGTTTCGTAATTATACTACTGCCTGTCGTACTTGTATAAGGCGGGCCGGACGACATGCCTCCCGCGAAAGGCTGCCATCAGTCACATATATCTTGGCGACAAAAACACACCGGTTCCCATGTCATCTTGGACGGATTTTTTTTATCTAGCTATGCAGCACTCAGAGCATGCAAGATTCATTCTGCATCAGGGAAAACTTTCACCATGGAGGTGTCATACATTCCTGTCAGGTTCCTCACCGCCCGCATCAGCCTCAGAGCGTTGCTGACCATAACGAGTGTGGCGTCACCGCACAGCCGCCATACCCTACAGCAACAAAGCCCAACATGCTTGAGAAGCCCGTTGCATTTCTGACACAAATTCAGCGGTTGTCGCATCAATACTTCCATCTCGTTGTCAAACCTAGCTCCTAAGTTCCACAGCTGGTAGTCACTTGATATCCATTCCTAAGTTACGCCGATTAGTGAGAATAAACCGAGTGCCAAGAAACACTCAGAAAAAATGACAAACAAGGGAAAACGAGTTGAAGTAGCTTAGAACCATTGCGGGCTGTAATCAATTTGCTCCATTCCTTGGGACTGCAAGCGTAACAGAGTACAGGAAACACGAGTCACTACGTCTCAGCTATTAGTGAATAGTGCACGGGTGAACGTGAACATGCTAGATTCAGAAATTTAGCAAAGCTCGGACGGGCGTGGCACCATAGACAAACGCACAAGATAGTGATTCAGGGTCACTTCAAGCTGAGAATGCATTTAATATCACCACGACATGGTGATCCCATTTCAGCATGGTCACTGATCAAAATCTAGATAGTTCAGATGTCGGCGGCGGATATAGTGCTGCAGATGAGGTTGACAGCCTGACAGCTGCTTGTAGTGGAGACTCAGCTTCGAAGAACAGCTGATGGGATCCCACACTCCCCAGCAAGCGATACCAGTTGTCAACTTCATACATTGAGATCGCCAGTCCAAGCCCGCGCCACAATCACGAAGGATGACTCATTAATATTGTTACTTTTAGATGCTTATACTTGGACTCTTGGAGTCTTTCACATATAGAGGTCCTGTCCAATCAAAATGACTAGAACGGGTTAGAACTTGTGCATGCCAATACGGCAAGCAGCGATAGGCATGGTAAGCTGACAAGTTATTAACAATCCCAAGGCCAGACAAAAAGCTGGATCTGTTTGAACATAGTTGACTAACTCACTTCTTCACTTCTGGTCATCCGGAAAATATCATCAACGTGTGCATGGTGTTGGTCGAATCCACAAGTTCTCTATACCTTAGATTGGTTCAATGTGGGGAGAGAAAGAGAACAAAATCAGGTCCGTCGATAATTTACGTAAATCGGCGAATTGCCATGGATCAGCACAGCACCCCACGAATGTGTTGCGTCACCACAGTGCGGTTAGATTTCAAGTCATTCATCAAAGCGACTACGTAATTTTGTGTACATACAGTTCGTGATCTACTTGCTCTTGCTAAAAATGATATTCTCACACTGGTCACGGTTTCTTCGTCAGAAGAGACTTATCTGTGACCAACAACAGACTTCGGCTGATAAGGCTCCTCCAAGTACTTGACTTCTTCTGCGGTAAGAGTGATATTGATAGCGCCTAACGAAGAATTATATCAGGATGTCTGCTCTTTGATTGTAACACATACCGAGAAGATCCTGCAGGTTCTTAAGAGACGTTGTCCCAACGATTGGCGCCGAGACGATGTCTTGTGCCATCGACCAAGCAAGAGCTGTTTGCGCCATGCTGGCGCCTTTCTTCTTCGCAACTTCCTCGAGGCTATGGGTATCGCTTCAGAATCTGCTCGATCTAAGGGTGACACTGTTCTCACCGGTTCATAATTTCTTTGTCAGATTCATGCTGGACATATGAGTTGATGGCCCTATACGTCATTTTTATGGATTATTCATGGATAATCCAGATGGTGACAACTAACAGGTCGGTCTTTCCACGAATTGTCTGCTGACCAAGAGGGCGGGTGAGCAGTCCTCGGGCAAGCGGTGACCAGGGGATGCATCCAACGCCAAACATCTAATATGGTAATTAGGGAGTAAGGAAGAGACAAAGATAAACGAATCAAACCTTGAGTGTGGGGAACATCTCTCGTTCCTCTTCGCGATAGATCAGACTGTGGTGATTCTGCATGGAAATGAAAGGTGTAAGGTGGTTCGCGATCGCGTAATCTAAACAGATCCATGAGGTTAAATTTTGACTCCTTCACACTAAAGTTATGATCTCACTTTGCATTGCTTGGACTGAAGATGCATCGTAAGACCGGAAACATGCACAGAATGAATGTCAAGACGTACATTGGTAAGCCCAGCATGAAGACATCCCAATATACCGAACATAACCAGCCTGCACGACGTCATGGAGAGCTTGCATCTAAGTATGATGCAGGTCGGTTAATAGATACTAGAAGTGAGGTATGGCGCTGACATACCGTCTCTTCAATAGGCGTCTCTGTGTCAAAGCGATGGCCTGAAAATCAATCAATCTTGAATCTTTAGCCGAATACTGGGTCACGACAAACACTGCAAGACATCAACATAATCAAGTTGCAAACGCTCTAGACTCTTCTTGATGGATGCGAAAATATGCTATTCGTGTGAGATCAGATAATGCAACAATTTGAAAAATCCACAGGTGCAAACACACCTTGCGACTCAAACCCCTTTGATTAACGTAGCCTAGTTGATCAGGATGTGTACTTGACCTGAAGACCTTTTCACCCGGGGTGCGGCCAACAACATTATAGACCTAGAGGTTTACTTGTCAAGACCTGTCAACAACCAACACATTGCAGGTCTGACCTTTGTCATGACTACAATCTCATCCCGAGGTAAGTTGAGCTTTTTGATCGCGTTTCCAAGTACGACCTCAGAAAGTCCATTGGAGTACATCTAACCACAACAATGAGTGATTCATGCCCAAGGTGAAGAGGTGTTCCATCTTACGTCTGCCGTGTCAAAGGTGTTGATGCCCGCGTCATAACTTCAATATTGATGGTAAAGATACGCTTTTGGATTGAAGTTACGCGACAACAGCACTCACGCAGCTTTGATGTGGATAACGGCTTCTTCCTCTCCAAGAACCCAATCTTGCCACTCGCTGGTACCTATGTTGAAGGATCAGGCGACTTTGGTCATGTGCGCGAGTAAACGCTCTACACACCATACTGCATTGTCCCCAAAATGATTTTGGAAACTTTGAGCCCAGAATTGCCCAGGCGAACTTCATGGTAGGCGGTCTATTAGCAGCATCGATAAACGAATAACCAATTACATACCATAAGGCATTCCTTTCTGCGTGGTCGACATGATCGCTATTGGTTAGGTTGAGGGCAGAGACGCTATTCTGAGAGCTCAGAGTTCGCCGCTTTATAAATCATACGTTATCAGCGG